GGGAGGACCACAAATGACTTCAAGCTTTCCCATATTAATAAACACAACAGTGCTCCTGCCCCCCAACATCACCCAGCACTTTGAGGAGGAAGATGGGAATACCACTGAAAGCAAATGTCCTTGTTGGGAAAAGGGATTTAGAGAATCCCAGAATGGTTTGGGTCGGAAGGGACATTAAAGATCATCCATTCCCACCCCCTGCCATGGGCAGGGACACCTCCCACTGTCCCAGGTTGCTTCAATCTGGCCTTGGACACTTCCAGGGCTGGGGCAGCCACAGCTTCTCTGGGAATTCCATCCCAGCCCCTCACTGCCCTCACAGGGAAGAATTCCTTCCTGCTGCCATCCAGGAGTGCCTGCATGCTCCATGAATCCCTGCTGTCGAGGTGAGGGTGTCCTCCACCACGCTCAGGTGGTGCTGAGAGCCCCTGGCAGCTCGGCTTGGTGGATAAAAATATTCCAGGCCGGAACATTTCCGCCTGCACGGAGGTTCCGCCCACGAGGACACCCCTGCCTTCCATGTGCTTCCTAAATTAGATCTCCTGGGACCAGCCTTGGGTTTTAAGAGGGAGGTGAGCTTGTTAGTGACCAACAGCATCCATTAAATGGGAATCAGCAGCTTTTATTGCACCTGGAGGTGCTGTAAAAGGAAAAGAAGGCACCAGAAGCCCTTTCCCTGCCCCAGCAGAGCCTGGCACAGAGGGGGGGGGTGTCACTCAGGAGCTCTGGAATTGTGAAGTTACTTCATGCTCAGGGAGAACGAGCCCCAAACTAAACACAGGAGCCTTGAGAAAGTGCGAGAAGATCAGGACAAGGTTTGTAAGGGGCAGCTCCCCAAAAAAGCCCCTTATCCCCCAGGTCAAAACCCCAAGCTGGAAAGGATCTAAGTGAGGATTGCCAAGATCCAGGAGGATCTATCCAGGACTGGCTCCTCCACCCAGGAAAGGCAGGGCATGCAGCTCCCTTCTTCCCCAAGTCATGGCTTGAGTTACACACCCGTGTGTTGCTGGCCCAGAAAACCCGGGGAAATCATGTTTTAGGAGCAAAAAAAGCCCCTCCTGCAGCGATTCCCTTCCACAGCTTGCTCGGAGATCATGGATCCCCGTTGGAAAAGCGTCTCACGAGACGTTGGCCCACGCTTTCATTGACTGAGAGGGGTTGTTGTGCAGTTGTGTGCATTCCCAAATTCCCAGAGAGCTCTTTTTCCGGCAACGGGGATACCAAGGACAAGAAGAAATTAATAAAGAAGGGAATTAATCAAAAGTGATGTCTTTTGGTTACGGGGAAAACCGGAGACAGAGAATCTGAACAGAAACCTGTGACATTTGAGAGCTGCCAGGCACCAATAAAACCTGCCCTGCCAAGGATGGTTTTTTTAATCAGGACCCAAAATCAAAGATTTTTGATTAAGAGGAGGAAAAAAACCCACAAACTGCACACGAAACTCAGCCGACAGGAACCATCCCGGAAAAGCTCTCGTGAATTTGCCGTCGTGTTTCAGAAAGAATGTGGGATTTCTGCTGGTTTAAACTGATTTTCACAATGCAAACCTCGTGTTGCAGCAGCGGCTCCGGCAAGATCTGAATCAACAAAGAGCTGAAAGGCCTTTTTGAATATTAACTAGTCCCACTCCAGCGCCTTGTGAGGTTTTAGTCGTCACTGTCATCCTAAAAATATGGGAATTTTGCTGGAGGGCTGATGTCCTTCCTAAGGTCATCCACAGATGCAAGAGACAGAGCCAGGAATAGAAATAATTGGTCCTGGCTTTAAGTATTAAACTCTGCCTGCCTGAAATAAGGAGTATAATTTATTGTCTTTTCTTGCTCGCACAGCAAAATCCACAAACTGCAAAGCAAAATCAGGAGGGGGGATTTGTGCCCATATCCATAATTCATTTTTTTTGCCAGGGCGAGACCTTGTAAACCTGCATTCCCCAGCCACTGGCTGCTCCAAAGCACATCCCAGCCAGGCCAGGATTAACCCAGAGGCTGTTTGGGTTATAGGATCACCCCAGGACAGCCCCAGGTGTTCAGCCCAGCCAGTCTGGAATGACGCTGGATCAAGGAACGGACACACAAGGGCCGATTGTCAGCGTGAGGCCGAAGGGAGCCGCCGCTTTCCCAGGGATTTTCCCTTTGCTGTGTGTTTGGAAGGTCACACAGCTGTAAGTCAGGCTCAGGAGGAGCTGGAAGCCTGGAGGGATCATTGCCCCGATCACACATGTCCTATGGAAGGAAGCTCTCCCGTGGGCTGACATCCCATTAATTCCTGCTGGTGGGAGCCCCTTCCTGGGGCTGGAATTCCTTTGCTGCCGGGTGTTTGTCCCGCAGATAACTCCGGTCTCATCCCTGACCCGGTGACTTGTATTTATTTTCTCATTTTATAAGAAGCAGGCTCTTCCCCGCGCTCATTCCTGGTGGGAATGCTGGCGTGGTGCGAGGCCGAGACCGCGCTGCTTCAATCTCGGATACTCGAGACGGAAAACTGGGACGTTTTCCAAGGCTCCGTCTGCCTTCCTGGGAAAAAAAAAAATCTCTGCTCCACAGGCTCCCAATCGTGCCATCAGCTGGAGAGAGATGGAACTTCACCAGCCCTTTTCCAAAATGCCCTTTGAGGTCAGGGAGAGCTTCCAGGGCCTGAAAAAGCTTAGGGAAGGTCCTGGGGCTCCCCGAAGGGCAGAACGACACTTCCAAGACCTTCCAAAGGTTGGCAAAGGCGCCAAGGAAATCTGGAGGGCAGCAAAGCCTGGGAAAGGTTGGGAAAGCCCTCGGAGCTCTCTGGAAGGTGGCAGGTCTCTGGGTCCTAAGCAAATCCCAGAGAAAGCCCCAGGGTTCTCTGGAGGGTAGGAGAGTCCTGCCCCAGCTTTGGCTAAACATGGAAAAGGGAATTCTCTGAAAGCACCAGCAAAGCCCAGCAAAGGCGCTGGGGCTGGCGGAGGGAAGCAGGGCTATCCCAGTGTCCTGGAAAAGCCCCAGGGAACACTGGGTGCCACCAGAGCCTCTTGAGATGTCATTACAGGGTGAGGGACTGAGGAGAATCCCAGAATGGTTTGGGTTGGAAGGGATCTTAAAGCCAATCCAGTCCCATTCTCTGCCATGGGCAGGGACACCTTCCACTGTCCCAGGTTGCTCCAAGCCCTGTCCAACCTGGCCTTGGACACTTCCAGGGATGGGGCAGCCACAGCTTCTCTGGGCAACCTGTGCCAGGGCCTCACCACCCTCACAGAGAAGGATTTCTTCCCAATATCCCATCGAAATCCCTGCCTTCTGGCAGTTTGAAGTCATTCCCACTTGTCCTGTTGTCCTGGATAACACAGGGGACAAAAGCTGCTTCAGGACGGTCAAAGAAAGGCCTCAGAAGGGGTTCTGGGGGAACAACAGGGATCCAAGGGGATCAAAGGTGCTGTGATGGCAAATTCATGAGAGCTTTTCCAGGATGGTTCTTGTCAGCTGAGCATCGTGGGCAGTTTGTGTTTGTTCTCTTAATCAAAAATCTTTGATTTTGGGTTCCGATTAAAAAATGTCCTTGGCAGGGCAGGCTTTATTGGTGCCTGGCAGCTCTCAAATGTCACAGACGTTCCTCCATCATTTCTGTTCAGACTCTGTGTCCGCAGTTTTCCTTGTAAAGAAGACACCACTTTTGATTAATTCCCTTCTTTATTAATTTCTTCTTGTTCTTTATGTCCCCACTGATGGAACAGGAGCTATTTGGGAATTTGGGAACACAACACAACTATACAACAAACCTCAGTCCTGCTTTTGACAGAAGCAGGGAGGTCCTGAGGGGACCAGAGGGACTAAAGGCAGCTCAGAGAAACAAATGCAGGTCTTAGGAGGGAATGTGAAGGAAGAAGGCACTGGGAATGTGAGATCGGGGTTAGACGGGATATTAAGAGGAAGCTGTTGACAGTGAGGGTGATGAGGGGCTGGAATGGATTTCCCAGAGAAGGTGTGGCCGCCCCATCCCTGGAAGTGTCCCAGGCCAGACTGGAGCAACCTGGGATGGTGGAAGGTGTCCCTGCCCATGGCAGGGGTGGGAATAGATGACCTTTAGGCTCCTTCCCCCCCCAAAGCCCTCAGCGTTCCGGTCTCTCCCCTCAGGGCCCCGCCATCGCCTCAGCCCCTGAGGGGCCGCGCTCCGGGGTCGCCCGGCCGTGCGCGCAGGGGCCGCGGGCGGCGGGAACGGCGCAGCGCCCGCTGCTGGAGGGCGGGAAGGCAGCGACGTGTAATGACCGCCGGGCACCAGCAGAGGGAGGCGACACACCGGCCCCAGGGCTCCGGTTTGGGTCGGTAACGGCCCCGAGGCTCCGGTTTGGGTGTAACGGCCCCGCGGTGATCAGGGACCCCCACAGCGAGCACGGTGCCCGCACCCAGCCCGTGTCCGACATGGCCGCCCACCCCTCAGCGCCGCCGCTCCCTGGGATAGCCCCGCCCCTTCCCGCCGCTCATTGGTGGAGCGGGCCGTCGGCCGGTGAATGCTCGCCTGCTATTGGTTGTCTCAGATGTCTGTCAGCGACGGCACCCGGGGGGCGCTGAGGGGGTCAGGGGGCTGTGCCCGCCCCTGTGGCCATGGCGGGGCTGGAGTGGGGCTGAAGTGGGGTGTTCGGCTTCTCGGGCACCACAGGGACTGTCAAAGAGCAGAAAAGGGAACGTCAAAGGGCAGAAAAGAGATCGACCCCAGGGGCAGCACAGGAACCGTCCCGGGGCAGCAAAGGGACCGTTCCGGGGGAGTGAAGGGACAGTCCCCGAGGGCAGAATAGGGGCCGTCCTGAGGCAGGAAAGGGACCATCCTGAGGCAGTAAAAAGGGACCGTCCTGAGGTGCAGAAAAGGGACCGAAGAGGTCGTCCAGGTGCAGAAAAGGGACCATCCTGGGGCAGAAAAGGGACCTTCCCCAGTGGCAGAAAAGGGATTGTCCTGGGGCAGTGAAGGGACCACCCCCAGGAACACCAAAGGGACAACCCCAGGGGCAGCTCAGCCCCACAAACATCCCACAGTCAGAACAGGGACAGAGCCTGCAGCCAGTTTATTGCCCATTCCTGGCAGTACTGGGGTCCCTCGGTGGGACAGGGGACAGTGGCCCTGCCCTGCCCGTCACGGCCCCTCCCAGGGTGTCCCCGAGGCCGGCGGGCTCCAGGCGCTGGACTCCCCGAAATCCGCCACCTCCTTGGCGGCCACCTGGATGTGGTGGAGTGTCCTGGGTTCCACGTCGGTCAGGATGTGGGATGTCAGCTCGAATGGCCCGATCTGGGGACAGCAGGGTTAGGGACACCCGGGGACACGGCCCTGTGTGTTCAGGGCAGCCTCAGTTTGCCCCGGGTGGGAGCAGGGGGGTGGCAGTACCGTGGTGGGGACAGAATCATTGTCCCGGGCGTAGCGGAGGTGATACTTCAGTGGGAAGTACTCTGGGAAGGGCCAGGATGCCGGAGGGCTCCACTCCAGCAGCAGCTTCATGGTCTCTCCAGGGATGGGGGAGACCCTCAGGTCCTCAGGGGGGTCTGGCTTTACTGAGGAACGGGGAGACAAGGAATCAGGGAATCCCAGAATGGTTTGGGTTGGAAGGGACCTTAAAGCCCATCCAGTTCCACCCCTGCCATTGGCAGGGACACCTTCCACTATCCCAAGTTGTTCCAGCCTGGCCTTGGACACTTCCAGGGATGGAGCAGCCACAGCTTCTCTGGGCAACCTGTGCCAGGGCCTCCCCACCCACAGGGAGGAATTCCTTCCCAATATCCCATCTAAATCTCTCCTTGTGTGGATTAAAACCATTCCCCATGTCCCACCACCATCTGCCTGTGTAAAAAGCCTTTTTTCTTCTTTTTTAAATGAAGGGGTGATGCCTGGGGGATTCAGGGACACACAAGGGGATCCAGGGACACTGAGGGGGATCTAGGGACACCATGTGTCCCCTCCCTGTGGGCTGAGCTGTGCAATCCAGGCTGCAGGGACGACCTGAGACCCCCAAATCATCACACTGATGATTCCACATCCCGAGGAAGGGAGAAACCAGAGGGGAAAGACCCAAAGGTATCCGGATCAGACCGAGGGGGGTGAGGTGTGACGGGTGTGGAGGGGACTCCAGTGTCCCCCCATGCCAGCTGCACTCACTGATGTTCTCCAGGAGGAAGGGCAGGATTCCAGAGGCAGCGCCCAGGGGGTTCACAGCCGTCACATTCACCACGTAGGGGGTGAGGGAAAACACCTGCAGGTCCCCAAAGGAGCAGCTCCGTGGCCCCGTGCGCTCACACTCGCCCGTGTCTGTGCCGTGCCTGGGGGGCACAGGGGGCAGCTGAGCAATGGGGGGGTGACACAGACACAGGGGGGGCTCAGCTGGGCTTTGGGGACCCCCCCCACTGACCTGTACATGGCCACAAAGTCGGTGTCCAGCAGCGGGTCGGGGGTCAGAGCCCAGGAGCAGTTCACAGCCTGCGGGTAACTGGTGGCCCAGCACTCGATGGCGGGTGGAGAGGGGGGGTCTGGGGAAGGGGACAGGGGTCACCCCACTGCCAGTGTCCCCAGGGGACACCCCCCAGCAGCACTGGGGGCCACGGCGGGGCTGGGGAGGGTCACTCACAGCCCAGGCGCAGGCAGATGGTGGCCCAGGTCTCGCCGGTGCCGGGGTGGTGGCAGCTGTAGTTGCCCTCGTGGGCCAGGCTGGCATTGGGCAGGGCCAGCCCCGGGGCAGGGGACGTGCCCAGGACGGTGCCCCCCCGGCGCCACTCAGCCGGACCCCCCGGGCACTGCAGCAGCACCTCAGTGCCCAGGGGGCTGTGCTGGGGGGCACAGCGGGCTGGGGGAGACACGGGAAGGGGCCCAGAGAGGGGTCAGGGGGACACACCATGGTGGGGGTGACGCTGGGGCAGGAAGGGTCTGTGCCCCCCTGGGACCCCCAGTGGCATTCCCAACACCCCAGTGCCCCCAGCCCCCTGGCTATGCCCTTGGGTGCCCTCGTGTCCCCAGGCCCTCACTGTCCCTGTTCCTCCACCACCAGTCCCCCCAAGCCCCTGTTTCTGTCCCCCCATGTCCCATTTCCCTCCATACTCCCTCCCAGTCCCCCAGTCCTCCATCCCAGTTCCCTGTTCTTCCCAACCTCCCTCCCACTCCCCCAGTCCCTCCATCCCAGTCTCCTGTTCTTCCCAAACCTCCATCCCAGTCCCCCCAGTCCCCCATACCTCTGTCCCCATTGTCCCTGTCCCCAGTGCCATTGTAGGGGACAGTGCAGGCAGGTGCCACAAAAGCCACCACCCAAAGCCACTTCATGTCAGGAGGCTCAGAGGAGCTGCCCAGTGACCTGCAGGGACAGGCAGGACAATCAAACCCCAGGGCAGGGGACAGCAGGGACACCACAGGCTCTGGGGACATCACCTTGAAGCTGGGGGGGTTCAAACCCCTCTCTGGGCCACCCCACAGTGCTGTGCCTCAGTGTCCCCTCTGGCTGTGCCACACACCCCGGGGACAGGGATGGATTCTGGCTGTGGTGACCAGATCCTGCTGCCAGGGAGGAGAGGGAATGAAAACTCCTGCTGTTCCCACAGTTTCCTACCAGGCCCTGCAGCCACCCCTGCAGTCCCGTGCCCGGAATCGAGGTTTAGGATCACTCCAGGCCTGGACCTGCACCCTGGGATGGCCCCCACCCCCATGGGCATCCAGGGTGGGACCATCCCTCAGAGAGACCCCCAAAGCCCAGCCTGGGGGCCCAGCTGAGCTCCCTGCTGTCCCCAAGCCCAGCCCCACAGGGACAGATCCTGCCCTTGTCGCCTCCTGCCGTGTCCCTGGGCTGGCTCAACCCCAGGAGGGACATGCCTCACTTTCCTTGGGTTTGGGGCTCCTGCAGCGCCCTTAACCAGGTGCTGTGGGGTCACCCCAGACCCCCAACACCCCCCCTCTGCCCCCAGCCCCGTGGGGAGCCCAGTCCCCCAAAATCCTCACCGCAGCAGGGCCAGGTATCTGGGACCGGAGTGTCCCCAGCGGAGCGGGAAGCCACGGCCTCATCCCACTTCCTCGGGCAGGAAACGCCGTCCCCCGGGGGGACCAACACACTTCCCAGTGTTGTTCCACTGGGATCCCCACGCTCGGGGCCCCAGGCTCACGGGAAAGGGATTCCAGCTCTGGCCAAGAGGGTTCCCACCTTCCCACGCTGCCACTGAGCCCCCTTCCTTCAAGGTCACCCTCTGGGGACAGCAGGGCTGGAGACGGTGGCACTGATCCCCTGCTGTCCCCCCCAGCTCCCCACGCAGCCCCCCGTGCCCACGCTGGTGCCCCCAGAGAGGAGCCAAAATTGGTGTGACTATAAATACTTTATTGCTGCTGTGCTGGGTCGGGGGGCAGCGGGGCCCGGGTGGGTGCGGGGGGTGGGTGCCAGTGACAGGGCAAGCAAAGGGGCACAGAGGGTGCTGTGACAGACCTGTCCCCACCCCGTGTCACTGGCAGTGCCACCGCCCCCCATGGCACTGCCCTGCTGGCAGGGGCTCCTCATCTGCTCTGCTCCTGCAGCCGCTGCATCCTCAGGATCTGGCACAGGAGCCTCTGCACGTCCTCGTCCATGTGGCCCTGGGGTGGAGGGGACATCGAGGGGGACATCGAGGGGGGACATCAGGGGGGTCTCCATGTGTGTCCCAAGCGCCCCTGGGCTGGCACCAGTCCCTCAGTCCCCCACACCTCTGCCCCCAGGTCTCGCCAGCCTCCATCCCAGCCCCTTGTTTGCCTGCTGTGGGCACCAAGGCGTGGCTGGCAGGTGGCCCAGTCCCCCCCAGGGGTGTCCCCCGCTGTCCCCCCAGCCCTGTCCCCGTCTCACCTGCACTGCATAGAGCAGGTGGCTCCGGTACAGAGTCACCACCTTGCTGTGCCGCACCTCTGTCTCCTGCAGGACAGGGAGGAGGGTTTGGCCACGGGGCTGGGGGCTCGTGGGAGCCCAGAACCCACCAGGTGACGGCCACCAAACCCCCCAGGGCCCACCTCCAGCTTCTCCTCCAGCGCTCGGATCCTGTCCTGGAGCGCTGCGGTGTTGGGGGGGGACTGTGGTTGCTCCCCTGGCTTGGGGAGGGCGTTCAGGGCTTCCTTCAGCCTGAAAACTTCCTTGGAGAGCTCCGTGATCTGCAGAGTGCACAGAGATCAGGGGGACCCCGCAACCCAACCCCGCTGGGGTGCAGCCCTGGGTGGGCCCCGTGCCTGGGAAGGGGAAGGGAAAACCAGGGAAGAGCCATGAGAGCAGAGGAAATTCTCCTCTGGGAGGGTGGGGAGGCCCTGGCACAGGTTGGGCAGAGAAGCTGTGGCTGCCCCATCCCTGGAAGTGTCCAAGACTGGTTTGGAGCACCCTGGGATAGTGGGAGGTGCCCCTGCCCGTGGCAGAGGGTGGGAATGGATGATTTTTAGGACCCCTCTCAACCCAAACCATTCTGTAACTCCACATGTGCAGCTCCCAGAGGCAGAGCTGCCTCCAGGGGGGGATTTCCTGGGATTAAAAGCCCTGAGTCCTTCTCCCAGCACCACCTTTGCCTGTTTGAACTGAACAGCCCTGAGAAAAGGAATGGGAATAAGGACAGAACTCTGTGGTGCTCCTGCTCTGGTTTAGCCCAGCTCTGCCACCCCAACGAAGCCTGTGCTTGAGCAAGAGCCGCTGAACTGGGGCCAAACGGGGGGAAATCAAGTCAGTCCTGTCTCATCCCCCCTGGAGGAGGTTCCCAGGAGTTGTGGGGTTTGGAGGAGCACAGGCAGAGCGTGGCTGTGTTTCCCTCTGGCTTCTGCACCGAGCTCGAGGGGACTTTTCAGACCAAACGAGTTTCAGAGGGCTGGGAACATCAGACCCCCCACTTCCCCCAAACCTCTGCCCCGTGTCCCCCCCTCCTACCTTCCTGTCCCTCTCCCTGACCAGCCGAGCTGCGTCCTCGGCGTGGCCGTGGAGCTCCCGCAGCCGCCGCGCCTCGGCCCGCGCCTCCTCCAGCTGCTTCTGCGCCGCCGCCAGCCCGTCCTCGGCCGCCTGGCGCTCGCTCTTCATGAACAGCGCCTGCCGCTGCACCCTGAACACCTCCTCGCACGTCCTCTCGTGCCGCCGGCCCAGCTCCTCCAGCCGCCGGCCCAGCGCCGCCGCCTCCTCCCGCAGCGCCGCCGCCGCCGCCTCGTGCTCGGCGCGCGGCACGGCCGCCGCCAGCTCGGCCTCCAGCCGGGAGGCCTCGCGCCCCTTGGCCTCAGCCGCCTCCTCCAGCTGCGCCAGCCGCTCCCGCAGCGCCCGTGCCTGCTTCTCCAGCGCGGCCGTGGCGCGGGCGTGCTCGTCCCGCGGCACCCAGCCCTCGTCCCGCGCCTGCCGCAGCCGCGCCAGGGCCTCCTCGTGCTCCTGCCGCCCCACGGGCCGCGCCGCCAGCTGCTCCCGCAGCTTGCCCAGCTCGGCCTCCCGCCGCGCCAGGGCCTCCCGCAGCTCTGCCAGCTCCGCCGGCTCCTCGCGCGCTCCCGGCTCCGGCTCGCGCCGCGCCTTGGCCTCCAGCTCCCGCCGCAGCGCCTTGGCCTCGGCCTCCGCCCGCCCGCAGCGCTCCAGCAGCGCCGCCTTCTCCCTCGACGCCTCCTCCGCGGAGGATCCCGGCGAGGCCGCGGCCTCTGCGGCCTCCAGCCGGGCCTGCAGATCCTTCAGCTGCTGCTCCCGCTCGTCCAGAGCTTTCCGCGCCTGCTGCAGGGCCGCCCGCGCCTCCGCCAGCTCCGCGCCCGAGGAGGAGGAGGAGGAGGGCAGTGGTTGTGGCACTCGCAGCTCGCCCAGCGCCGCCTTGCACTCGCCCCACGTCCAGGCCGGCTCTTCGGCGAGCCCCTGCGCCGCGCTTCCCTCCGGGAATCCCTCCTCCGGCCGCCCCCCGGCCTCGCCCTTCACACCCTGTGCCCGCAGCTGCTCCAGCTCCCGCTGCAGGGCCCGGTAGAGGCTGGCGGGCACCACGTCCCCCGAGGCGGGTGCGCTGCTTTCGTCCCGCTCGTAGTTCTCCAGCACCTGCCGAGGACACCGTGAGGCCCCCGCGGGACAGGGGGCGGAGGAGGGAGGGACGGACGGACGGACAGACGGGGACGTGCCTGTATTTTGTCCCTCAGCTCCTTGTTCTGCACGGTGAGGGACTGCACCTGCCCCTGCAGCGTGGCCAGCAGCTCCTCGGCCGAGGGGCTCAGCGTCTTCTTGGAGAGCAGCAGCTCCGCCCCTGCAGGGCACAGGGACTCTGCTCGGTGCCCACCCGTGCCCACTCACACCCCCACTCCCCAGTGCCACCCCCCGAGGTGGCCTTGGGAGGCCTTCAGGGCCCTACCTGGGAACTCAAGCGGGTCTCCCTCCTCATCCTGCAGCGTCTCGATGTCGTAGCTCGTGTTCTCCTTCTCGTTCTGGGGACGCAGGGTGGTGGTGACCCTCACACACACACACACCCCCCAGCCCCTGGCACTGCCAGCTGCTGCCCACACCCACCTCCAGCGAGGACAAGCGGCTCTGCAGAGCCTCCACCTCCTTGCCCAGCCGCTCCTTCTCCCCATCCCGGGCCGCCAGCTGCTGCTCCAGCTCCTGGATCTGTGGGGCAGGACGCAGGAATAGGGTCCTCTTGGCTCCCACCAGAGTCC